CGGCCTGAGGCGGCGAGCGGAGCGGAGCGGGCCGGGCGGCGGGAGGGACGGGAGGGCCGCGGAGGCTGCGGGGGAGTGCGGGCCGCAGGCCTGGTCCGCCGCGGCCGCGGGAGTGACAGGTGCGGCCGCCCGCTCGGGGATCCCCGGGGCGCCCACCCGACGCCGGTGACGCTTGCAGGCTTGGACGCCGCGTCTCGGCAGCAGCTGGGGCTCGCCCAGCCCGCGCTCTTTCTCCGGGTACTTCGCGAACAAGTTTTGGAGCACCCGGAACCGCTCGTGCGTGAGATTTGGCTTCGGTTCCCGAAGGAGGAGTGAGGGACTGCACGCCGCCCTCCCTCCTGGCAGCCAGAGGTAGACGCGCAGGCTCTCGCACCAGCCTCTGCTGTCGAGGCTTCTAACAGCTACGCGCGGCGGCGGTGGAGGGGTGCCAGCCTTGGGGGTGCTCGTAAACACGGAGCAGTCGGGGCAAAAGTTTATTCCATTGTCTGCCCTGCTCCCTCCGTTTGCCACATTTCCCAGTTGATGTCAGTGGAGAGTTGTAGCGAGAGACAGAGACGCTGAAAAAAACCAAAAAAACAAAAAACACGCATTGTTCTGCAAGCCTCGCCTGTCTATATGAAGGTGCTTGCGCCTGTAACAGGAATGAAGTTAAGCTCTAGCTCCAAAAATACTTGAGAAACTACGGAAAGATCGTAATACTATGTTGAGAATCTTCCTAGAAAACCTAAGGTTTCCCCCACACCACTTTATGCCACTGAAATTGGTTAGTCTAAACCTCTTGAATGAGATTTTCATTTAAGATCAAAATATACTTGTGTAATACTAGCCTAGGGGCTTCCAGCAACCACTGTAGAGCAAGAGCCTACACGTGGATCGGAGGGACATTGTGTACAAGTGAAAATCACCTTTGCACTTCATGACCGAATTCCTTAGTACATGTCGGCAGTTTGGTGTTTGTTTTTTTTTTTTTTTTTTTAATAAAAGTGTTCCCAACCCACAGAAGTTGAGAACTGCAGATTAGAGAAGGAAGGCTGTACCTAACCAGTGTATGTGTTGCGGGGCTGGAGGTGAAACTTGGGTATACCTTTAAGTTTATACCATTTTCGATAGGTGTGTTGGAAGCAAAAGTTTCAGAATGCCGTTGGTCCTTGATCCCGTAATCTAAAGTTCTAAGAAGTCAAAACGACAGTCGTGGAGATTAGGGAGACCTAGCCATTTGCTTTTACTCTCATTTTATAATTTGTGGGGACAGTGCTTGGGACCAAACCCAGGGCCTCTTGTAAGTCATCAGTCTGTTGTGTTTAATCTGTTAGATTCTACCAAGGCCTGTCTAGCTGGGTGCAGTGATGTGTACCTACCTGTATTCCCAGGTCTCAGGAGCCTGGGACAGGAGGAGTGACAGTTTGATCCTAGTGCAGGCTACACGGTGAGAGAGAGCTGCTCTCAAAGCATGTGGCCATATTAACTGATGAAATTTACATTGCATAGTTTGTTTTTGGATCAAGCTATGGGGTTGAGAGTATTGACTACTGTTCATTTTTAAAAGGGCTAAAATTGCTATTGAGTAAAAATTATGTACTTGAGTTCCCCTGGACAGAGTTCTTTCCTGACTAGTGATGCCATAGAAGAAGGAGCTCATGATGGCTGTGGCCCTTCCTAGAGACCATGGCCTCAGGAAGACGGATAGTGTATAAGTCTTGCTCGGTGTGGCTTAGCCTGCACCTTACTACAGCAGCTTGTCTCACACCCTCACCTCTTAAAAACGAGCAGTTTGACACAAAACCCAAAGCCTCCTACGAAAACAAGATTCCTATAAAAAAAGCATGAGTTGTGGGAAGGCTCGTTGTGACGGTGCTGTTAGTGAGGTGGCTTTGAGCTGCTTGTTTGTGTGAGCTGCCCTCAGTGTTCTAGTTCAGAGCACAGATTCCAGTGCATACTTAGGTGTAGCACTGTGTGCTTGGAGAATGTAATTAGGCCCCAACCCGTAACCTTGAGATCAACAGTAACTTATTTAATGTTACTTCTTTTTTTTTTTCCCCCACTGAGACAGTTTTCTACTGTATAGCCCAAGCTAGCCTTGAACCTATGACTTTCTCTCCTGCCTTAGCCCTCCAGTACTGAGACTGCAGATGTACCCATTACAACTGGCTGATAAATTTATCTGGTAATGACTGTACCATGTCCTTGATTTTTTTTTTTGAACACAAAGAAGAGAAAGAGCATTTTTAAAAATGGGGACAGTGGGGAGCTAGATACAGTGACAGCTATTGTAAGTCGTCCTCTGAGGAACAGAAGTAAGTGCAATGTAGGACTATTAAAGAGAGCCGTGGTCACCAAGAGGGCAGAGGTGACTTGCAATGGAGCTAAATTTGAAGAACAGGGGGGTTTTAAGTGGAGGAGACAGACACTCCAGACCCCAGGAACAGCATAGATCAAGCCAGGAACAAGTTATACTCTGAGCGGTCTGTTTTCTCAAAGAACAGGGAAAGCATGAGGAAACACTGTAGCATGTGAATGAACTAACTTTAAACTTAGCCGTGAATTAGTCCACAGCTGTATTCCTTTGCTTTATGCCAGTCCCCAGTAAGCACACAGAGTGACCATATTTACTTAAAACTGTACCTCAATAGCTGAGCAGTCCATGATCAGCCTTTACCTTTGTGCTAACCTGGCTCTCTCCCAGCCCCATCCCATGGTACATGCATATTATTACTGATGTGGGCTTCAGGCGTGTTTCCATGGCCTCTCTGCAGACCGCTTCCTCAGGGCTCCATGTCCTCCATCCTCCTCGATGATCGAAGTCTCCCTCTCTTCTTCCTCTGGTTGGTGGACTTCCTGCCCTGTTGTCAGTTCTGTCCAGCATTGGATGATCAGCCTTTATTGACAAGGCAGAGGATAAATGATAAAAGCTGTTTACACAAACTTGAGACAGGAATTCTTGGTGTAAGCATTTCAGTGCCACATCCGTATTGAAACCAGACATGAGGGCAGAGACAGGGTTTCTCTGTGTAGCACTGGCTGTCCTGGAACTCACTCTGTAGGCCAGGCTAGCCTCAAACTCACAGAGATTCATTCACCTGCCTCTGCCTCCAAGGACTAAGATTAAAGATGTTCACCACCACCACCACCACCACCAACTGGCATGAATCCTGATCTTAAGAAAGAACAGGGACCACATGAACCATGTTATTTTAGCTTTGGAAGGCTGAGTAGAATAATGTTTTGTCTTTGATATATTTACTATATTAAATATTTAACTTACTGACAATAATTTATTATATTGTATTATTCTGGCCTTTTTTTTTCTGTACGTGTGCGTGCGCACACACATATTAGCCCTGAGAAAAGAAGGAGTCGTCATTGCTCATGAATACCCCCTTGTACTCCCTTTGAAACATTGTTAACATTTGAGCTGCTGAGGTGGTGCAGTGTTCTTAGCCAGTGTGCTCTGTCTTATAAATGATTATTGTGTTCTTTTCTCAGTTACAAGATTTATTCTGTCTCCTTGTGGTTTGCCTTTTGTTATCTCACTCATTGTGGAAAAACTTCTGTGTGTCCACTGTGTCAGTCAGTCGGTCCCTGCTGTAGTTGTGAGTCTTGAGGAAACCTAGGCTTCTGCTGTAGTGTGCTCGTCAGGCCTCTTGATGGGGTTTTGCTGACTCTATTCCTACTTATTGCCTGCAAGCTTTTTTCTTTCATTTCAAAGGTTACAGCCTTAGTTTCTATTTCTAGATGAGGCAAATGTTGGTTTGAATTTCAGAACATATTTTACAGTGGGTCATTGTGCTTAGTCACATTTTAAATAGTTGTGCCACATCCTACGTCCTCTTCAAGAGGTGTTTTAGACTAGATATTTATGAACATTTAACTCACACAGGGCATCACAGTCAGGTAATAGCAGTAACTACCTACATTTAAGAGCTTACGATGCTCAGACACAGTGTACACATACTGACTACTGACAGTCTCGCCAAGACTAAGAACAACACGGATCAAGTGGTTGGCATGCCTTTTCAGTAAAACACGAGTTGTCCATACCTGCTGGGGCCAATGACCTTGTCAGCCATAGGCTTTGGACAGCATTGACAATAATGGGCATGGATTCCATGGTTGAGGGAATTTAAGTCCTTTCTTTTTTTAAGTTAGTTGTAAGCATCAGTCTTATAATCAAACTCGACATTTTGATATCAGAGTGTTCTGTCCTTGTTTTCTTGGAGTTGGGGGTGAGCATGCAGCTGCAGGAATGGTCTTGTGTGTAATGACAGATGCTGGCCCTCCTCTCAGGGCAGAGCATCATGATGTAGCACCTGTCCCTTGAGTGTGTAGACACGGCAGAAGTGTTTCAAGAGAAGTTAAGGACTTTTAAAGCCAGTTGTGGGAGTGAGCATTGTGTATTGATTATAGTCCTGTATTATTACCTATGAAATAAATGAGACCCATGTACTCTTTTGAATAACTTTATGTTGTTTAGTTTAGTTTAAAAAATATGTTAATGCTAATGGGATTGTGGATACAAATCCAAATACTACCAAATCTGATGTCAGGAGAAATGTATTTTATATGTATGGCTGTTGTAGAAACAAGAATAATTCTCTTCAATGTGTTTTCTTCTCCTCTTCCTTCTCTTCTTCCTCTCCCTCCTCCCCTCCCCACTGCCCACAGGAGTTCCTGTTGCTTGAGCGTGTAACGCCCCAGTTCTGAGCCATGGCCTCAGCAGTCCTCAGTTCTGTGCTCACAACTGCCTCGCGCTTTGCCCTGCTACAAGTGGACAGCGGCAGTGGCTCTGATTCTGAGCCTGGGAAAGGCAAAGGCCGGAGTAATGGGAAGTCTCAAACTCTGGGAAACAAATCAACCTCAAATGAGAAAAAACGGGAGAAGAGAAGAAAAAAGAAGGAGCAGCAGCAGAGTGAAGCAAACGAGGTAGCCATGGCCATCCTTTGTCCTCGGGCTGGGGACACATGCCATCAGCCACTGTGCAGACAGAGGTAGCCATGGCCGTTCTGTGTCCTCAGGCTGGGGGCATATGCCATCAGCCACTGTGCAGACAGAGGTAGCCATGGCCATTCTGTGTCCTCAGGCTGGGGGCATATGCCATCAGCCACTGTGCAGAGGTAGCCATGGCCATTCTGTGTCCTCAGGCTGGGGGCATATGCCATCAGCCACTATGCAGAAAGAGGTAGCCATAGCCATTCTGTGTCTTGGGGCTGGGAGTACATGCCATCAGCCACTGTGCAGGCACTGTGCCCATCACAGGGCACAGTTTCTTGGTCAACTTAACACCTGCCTGAACCCACAGGCAGCCAACACTGCAGACATCCTTCCTGACTGGAGCAGTTTGTGTGTTCATGCTATAAATGAAGACAGAGAAGTCATAAGGGGGGCAGCCCATGCCTGTAGCCCTGGCTTCTCAGGAGACTAAGCTGACAGGGTTGCTTGTACAAGCCTGGACACGAAAGTGAGACTTTGTGTGGTAAACTAATTAATAAATTTAAAAGGAAAGATTAATAAAATCCACAAGTAACTTTCAGTTGTGAAGTTAATATAAGGAGTATTTAGACTATTAAAATTTAAAATTAAATTAAAATTAAAATTTTTATTTTAAAATTAAAATCACTAGTATTGATGTGGTGAATTTAATATATTTTGTACTTATTTCTTAGCTCAGGAATCTTGCTTTCAAGAAAATTCCACAGAAATCCTCCCATTCTGTTTGCAATGTTCAACATGAGCTTTCATTGCCAAACCCAGCACAGAAGGAATCACGGGAAGAAAACTGGCAGGAATGGAGACAGAGGGATGAACAGGTACAGCTGCGTACATAAATCTTGCCGTTCTCAGCTTGATGGCATGTTGTGATAGCAGCACACCTGAGCACTTGCTCCATAGTGCTGGGTGATTGCTGGGCAGAGCTCGCTGAGGCCCGGGGGACTCTGTGTGTGTTGTGTGTGTTGGATTGCTCAGTGCAAAGCAGTTACAGGCGTTCTTTGTTTGAGGGTTCTGGGACTCAAACCTAGGGCGTTGGGCACGCTAGGCATGTGCTCTTACTCTTCACCTACAACCCTAGCCCTGGTTGTTTGTTTGTTTGTTTGTTTTTAGTTCATCTACTGTTTGTAAATGAAAGTATGTTAGAAACATAGAGAAATATGCTTAACTTACTTCAACTTTCAAAGGGCTGAGGAGAGTGGTTAAAAAACATTTGTTCAAATTTTTTAAAAACTCAGATTTATAGGGCTACAAATCTGTTAAAAATATCTGATAACAGTTGTGATTAAACAGAGACTTTGGGGTAAAACTTCCTTTGTAACTGTGAAACTGCTGACGGCATGCTGCTTCTGTTGGCTTATTTATATGGTATCTTATTCTATGTCTCTTAAGTGGTCATTAAGAGAGTACACACAAGGGAAGGAAGGCACAGAATGTGTGTGAAAATGTGAGTGTGCACATGTGTATGAACGTACATTCATAGGAAATGAACATTGTTTGTTTGTATATTTATTAAACTATAATTTGATCCATAGGAAAATAGGCATTATTTTTAGACAGATATTTGATCCATTTAATGGATTTTCCTATCTTTCTTGTGTTACCATTTTAAAGGAAGCAGAGAAAGCTGGGTGTGGTGGTGCACATATGTAATCCAAACATCTAATCACTTAGGAAACTGAGGCAAGAAGCGCTTCAGTTCCAGCCCAGTCTGGGAAGCGCGGCAAGATCCTGTCTCTAAAGCAGACTCACGAGGCAGACAGCGCTTGAGTACATTCTTCATATAAACTGTGTTCAATCTATTCTCTTTAGGCTCTCGCACTGTCCAAGACTCGGTATTGTGAGCACCAGTTATTACTCAGGAGCCACACAGTAATGCTATTGACATTTCCCGATAGTGTCATGTTGATAGGCAGTAACAGGACGCACCATTATCTTCACCAGAGAGAATTTCTCCCAATAGCCAAAGGGAAACTGATGTAGGAAAATGACTCAGATTTACACCAAAAGCAGTGTGTGAACTTGAACACAACCTCGGAGAACCTTTCTTTTTCTATATTTGCTGTCACAGTGATCAGGTGGCTCTGAAAAGAAAACAGATCGCGTAGTTGAGGACCTTGAGGGTTTATACTGGTGTGTTGTTGAACATGTAGAAAGACCCAGAACCTTAGAGCCCGTGCCTAGAAGGAAACAGTCAAGCCTTGCACTGTGTACAAGCATGGTCTTTAGAATTCCATGAGATGGCGCACTTTGTGAGCTATTGTCAGCATTGTATGTCAGCGTTGCTGTTCTAGAATTCTGTTCCTTCCTTCTACCTCCTGTAAGGAGCAGCAGAAGATTTATTTTCAGAGACTACTCAGTATGTCCCAATTAAGGTTCCTTTTTTGTTTGAAATGTTAAGTTTCACTCATTTTTGTTTGCTTGTATACTAGTTTATGTTAATAAAAAGGCAAACTTAAGGGCTAGGCAGGAGTTTTGCTTGATGCTATTGTACACTTTCTCTCTGCTTGCTTATGCTGTAGGCCAGTTGTCAGCACACAATACAGGCAGGCAGGGAAGGCAGCAGACGGCAGACTGTTACAGTCTGACTGACTGTTCAGTGGGACACAGATTCCAGAGAAAGCCATGGGGGCTTGGTTGCTTGGTTGCTTGGTTGCTTGACGGCTTGGTTTTTGGTTTTTTTCTACTTCAAATTTCATTTGGAGGCCAAGTGGATCTATGAATTTGCAACCCACATAGTCTATGTAGTGACTTCCAGGACAGCTAAGGATATATAGTGAGACCTTCTCTCTTAAAAACACTCCCCCCCCCTCTCTCTCTCTCTCTCTCTCTCTGTCTCTCTGTCTCTCTGTCTCTCTCTCTCTCTCTCTCTTATTGTTTTATCAGAATGATCTGGCTTGACAATCTAATTCTGTGAGTTACTGGAAAATCATAGTATCTTGCAAGGCTTTCTAATGTGTCCTGCTGTCTGACTCATTGAAGCCTCAGCCCAAATGTATGGATGCTACATTAGAAATCATCACAAAGCTTCTTCCCACAGTTAAATCTTAAAAATAGGATTATAGTGGTACATTAACCAGCTTTGTTAGAAAAAATTTAGATTTGTTACTTTTTTAAAGATCATCATCATCATATATTTTAACTTATGAGCAAATATTTTGTACTCAGTTTAGATATAGAAATTAATTTATACTTTCTTTTTTAATGTGGCAAATATGCATAAATGTTGTTTTTAGATTATTACTTTTATTATCTACGTAATAATTTGGGGTTTAAAATATTTATGGGGATTTTGCCTGCGTGTACATAAGCATATCACATGTGTGCCTGGTACTTACAGAAGACAGAAGAGGGCATTGCATCCTCTGGAACTGGAATGAGCCACCATGTGGGTGCTGGGGATGGGTCCTCTGCAAGAGCAGCCAGAGCTCATAACCACTGAGTCACCTCTGCAGGCTCCTACGATTAAATTGTAGAGTGCTGTTAATTGGGATTGCATTATTCCTCAGTCCCCTAGGGTTATTGTATATATTGTAGTTTACCGTGGGCTTCCTTAGATTCTTGCATGCAGTTTCCTTTACCAGTTTAATTCTCATTGAATTTCAGTTAGTGTTTTTCTGTGTAAAGCTAACTGGCTTTACTGTTTTTGTCTTGGTGAAGGATTAAATGAGATGCTTTTTAAGGGATGACTTCACTCAGTTTGATGTGTAGAGTTTGATGGTGACAGTTTTCTAGTTTTTAAGATAGCCTTTACCCACTCCTTTTGACATCATTTTCTATCTTAGTCTGTATATTTTTAAACATTAAACAACATAACAATTCTTAATAACTTGGGCAAAAATTTATCGAGGAGTGGTTAAAACCTGAAAACTTAGGCCATAGGAAAGATGGAATCTAGCAGGTTCTGGGACACTCCAAGGCAAGAGCTAGCAGACAGCACATGGAGGGGTGACTGCCATGTGGGTATCCTTCCTGGACGTAGCTGAAGACGGTGCCTAGAGGAGTGGAAAAGACCTGGCCCATGTTCCCTGCCTGTCATTGCTGGTCATGCAGCTTGGCTGTTCATATGGCATTGTGTTGGAATGGTTGGGATGCTTAGCTGTCCTGTTGAGTCACAGATATCAGAATATTTTTATTCACAGTAAGAAGGGATTTTGGAGAGAAAAATGTGAGATGTCTATAGCATATGTAGACACGGATGGATATGTACCTAAATTAACAATGAGTAAGGAAATAGAAATTTCAAAAACAGGGGTTTATGCTTCTATACAGATCAACGTTCTTAGGAGGGCATGGTTAAGTAACTTTGGAAAGCTGATAATTGTTCAAGTCCGTTCATTTTCTTTTGCTGTCTGTATTATCGTATGTCATGGTTATTTTGAGAGTGTGCTATAATGTATGTTCACTGTGAAACATGTTTTTAGCTGACCTCTGAGATGTTTGAAGCTGATCTTGAGAAGGCGCTGCTGCTGAGTAAGCTGGAATATGAGGAGCACAAGCAGGTACTGACTGACGCGGCCTCACCACCAGGGGATCTCAAAGTCTCTTCTTCGGGGTTGGGGTGTAACTTACTGTCAGGCCCTGGATTTATCTCCTAAAACTACAAAAAAAAATAAGTTTGCCCCCAAAATCCATGACAGGATCCACAGCAGGGTCCGTAGCAGGATCCCCCCCTCCTCAGATTTGAGGGAACAGACACACGGGAATTGTGCTTTCCTGACGACTTAGAAGGTTGAGTTTCTCAAACCACGGTGAAGCAAATGAGAGTGAGATAAAAGCCACATGATGGACCTTCATTTTAAATGGATCTAGACTGTAAGTACACTTAGCAGCTTTGAGTGAGTTCAGTGCTCAGGTGTATGCTTAGCTTCTGTAAGGCCCGTTACATGTGGTCTTATGTTGCTTTCCACTTTCTGTATCTGAATTGTGTAAAATTTGATGTATGTAACATTATACTTCTTAACATTTACTAGGATTTTGTTGTTGTTCCCTAGATTCATTCAAGTTGATCAAGAATACCCTCCTCTCATGATTGAGGCCTTTGTGGCCATGCTACAATTGACTAGTGTCTCTAGCCCAGGAGAAAGACAGAAAGGAATTAAAGCACACACAAATGATGTTACTACAAAAAACCCTTGCCAGTCAGGTGGTCTGTGGTATCCCGTCCAGTCAGGTGATCTGTTGTATCCCGTCCAGTCAGGTGATCTGTGGTATCCCATCCAGTCAGGTGATCTGTTGTATCTCGTCCAGTCAGGTGATCTGTTGTATCCTGTCCAGTCAGGTGGTCTGCTGTATTCCATGGGCTTTATTTTCCATGTCCTTATTCACTGTATTGTAAATAACCAAAATGATTATGACCAAAGTCAAGGGTGGAGAGATGACTCAGTGCTTAAGAGCACCAGCTACTCTTCCAGATGATATGAGTTCAGTTCTCAGCATCTGTATGACAGCTTACAACCACCTGCAACTTCAGGCCCTCTTCTGGTGTCTAGAGGCACTACATACACATAGTGTGCAGACATACTTGCAGCCAGAACACCCATATGCAGAAAATAAGTAATTTCTTTTTAAAAAGAAGGGGAGAAAAAAGAATGATTATAACCTAAATGGTTAGGTGTCCACTGAGATAAAAATCAAGCTGTTATAAAAGTGAATACAATGCTTTACTGTGATTTAGCCGTTTAAGTGCACTTGGAGGTTATGCTTGGCAAGGTGCTCCTTTATTTCTGAATCAGTGCATATGATTTTAACTTTCATGATTAGCTGTTGTAGGATGCATGCCATTGTTCTGAACCTGAGACAATTAGGTGTTTGAGGAGTGGAGCAGATGGTGTTGATAAAGTGTCATGTTCCCAGCCAGTTTTCTTGCTAACTTCATAGGCCTAGTACTCCAAGCATTCATTTTTGTCAGACAGTAAGGACTCTAAGAGAATGGAAGCGCTTGTATGTGAAAACTAGTTTTATATAATTACGTTAATGTGCTCACGGAGTTTACAAGTCAGTATTTCAATCAGATAACTGTAACAGCTTATCTTAGTGTGTGTGTGTGTGTGTGTGTGTGTGTGTGTGTGTGTGTGTGTATGCATGTGCATGTGCTTTAAGTGCCCATATACAAGTGTGCAGGAAGGCCAGAAATCAGCATCAGTCTCTCCCATCTTCTTTTTGAAACAGGATCTCGGGTACAGCTGGGGATCATAGACTCAACTAGATGGGCTGACCAGCAAGTCCCAGGGGTCCTCCTTCCACCTCCCCAGCTCTGGGGTCACAGGCACTCACCACTACACCAGTTTTTAGTTTTACATGGGACTAAGGATTGAACTCTGGTCCTCAAGCTTGACAAACAAATCGCATACCAACTTGTCCATCTCTCGTCTTCCCTCCCATTATCATTCTAGCCTGTGAATTATATAACAAATAGTGAAAGTTTGGGCCATCCACTGGCTTACACCTGTAATCCCAGCACTGCTGAGGCAAAGGTGGGAGGATTGCTACAGCTTTAGGCCAGCGGCTTGGGCTACATACACAGTGTGTCCTAGGCCAGCCTGGGCTACAGAATGAACTCCTGTCTCAAAAACAGAAAAGAAAAGGAAAAAAACTCAGGAATGCTGTTTTCTGTCTCTTCTATGACTCCCTGGCCCGGTGCTGGCATAGGATGTGAGGATAAAGACTACCTCAGCCCTTGGGCCTAGTGAAGGAGACAGGCAGATGGTACCGGGGACAGTTACCTGTTCTTAGCACTGTGAAGACTCAAAATAAACAGCTTCTTAGTGCCTCTGATGGGGGTGGGATTTTTCAAAAACAGTTGTCTTAAAGTCTTACTAGACTTACTAGTTGTTCACAAAGCAGACCAGAAGGAAGTCGGCACTCTCAGGGAAGGCGTGTTGTTATGACAGTAGCTAATGTGTGAATACTACCTAGGAAAAACGAACTGAGGGACCTAGGGAAGCTTCACTAGGCTAAAAGACAGTGTCAGAACACATGTGGTGGGCTTGTCTTCTCTTAAAAAATGCTGGATATTTTTAACTTTTAGATTGATTCCAGGTTTTTATTTTAGAAACTCATGCTATAAGTATAGAAAGTGAATTGAGGGAATAAATTAGAGATTATGTCAGTGTCCAAGCAAGAGAAGAGACCTAGTAATTAACAGAATGGTTCATTAGCATATAAGATGTGTAGAGAGAGTAGACAAGAAAAAAATGAGACTCATAATTTACAGCTGTGTCAAGGGTGGCATAGCTGAGCAGATAAAGGGTCCCGTGAGAAGGTGGGTGGGGCCGTTGAAAAGAAACACAATATGGTGGGGTGTGCTGAGCACTGCAGCTGATGTCTGCACATAGAGCTCCTGAGTGTAGAGTGAGCCGTTGACACTGAAGAGCATAGGAGACCAGGGGGAGGGTTGGGAAAGGAGCCAGCAGTGGAGACGTAAGGGTCATCAGAGATGTGTAAAGAAAACCGTACAGCGGTGTTACGGAGTCTGGGACTGCTCTCCAGAGGCCAGTGTAGTCCCCAGCACTCACAAACTCATCTTAATTTTCATGGTAGAAAACAACAGAATCGCCATTTCAGGGGTATGAGATTGGAAATTATAGATTATTCTCTTTATTTGTTCCTGAAGGAAAGAATAGGAAGTTGGCAGTGGTGGGGATTTATGAACCAATCTCTGTTTTACTTTAATGTTTTCAGTTGAGAGGGTGGACAATAACTAAGTAGGATTTTTATACACTTGGGCCAGCCTAAGCTTTGGTTTTATTTGCCTTGACTCTCTCAGAAGCCTAGTGAAGAGTAGATGCTTTATAAACCAAACTTAACCACTCTTGGTAATTCTTTTTAGGATTATGAAAGTGCTGAAAATGCTTCAACTCAGACAAAAGCTATAAATAAAAAGGATAAAAGAAAGAACCATCAGGGAAAGGACAAACCTCTTACGGTGTCACTCAAAGACTTCCAGTGTGAAGGTAATGTATGTGCACCTTGCCACACCAGAGCTACTTCCGACTGTTGGCTTTGTCTTTTTCTTAAATATGAACTCTTGTAACTCAGGCTGACTTCAAACTTAGTGTGTAGCTGAGAGTCCCCCTGCCTCTGCCTTGAGGTCACAGGCGTATCTCATGTCTAGTTTATGTGATGCTGGGATCAAACCCAGAAGCTTGCTTATGCTGGCCCAGAATCTACTACCTGAGTTGTACCCCACCCTATTTTGAGTCTTTTTGTAGCTATCTATAGAGTACTTTTCTAATTTTGTTTTTGTTTGTATACCATTTAGAGTAAAGCTGGAACCCTGTGCTTTAATTCATTTGGCACAGCTGTGGTAGGATAACTGATTGCAGGTCATTCCAACAGACAGCGGCACATTGGCTCATGGTTCTGGAGACGGGGAAGTTCAGGGTTAAGGTGCCAGAGTCTGTCAGAGTGGTGCTTGCTGAACAAATGGTAGTCAGCAAAAGAGCGGGAGACACAAGGTTCTGTGTGACTTCCTGGGGAGACAAGAACAAATGTTCACTCCCTCAGGAGAGGGCACCAAGAGCACACCAGAGAAACAGTTCCCTCCAGGTCTAGCTTGCTGAGCCAGTGAGTTTCCTGCTTTTTCTACAGAAGTATGGGTGAAAGGTCACCTGAGGACCACTGAATACTGAATCACCTCAACTTGTGTAACAGCTCAGCTCGAACTCAGCTCCCTGGACCTCTCTCTGCCCAAACTGCAGGCAGCTCTGTGTAAGGGATCTCTGCTGAGCATGTAACCTCACATATAGGCCGTGTGGGGCTTGCAGAACTGTAGGAATCTCCTCTTCCCTCTAGGGAATTTTCTCTCTAGGTTATTGATCATTTCATTCTCCTTGTAACTTTCCTGTCTAGCTCTTGAATTGATTTAATAGTTTTCTTGTATAGGTCTTAAAGTTCTTATCCATTTGTTTGGATTTTTGGTGGTGGTTGATTTTTAAAAGTGTGGCTCTCAGGTATTTTTGGCAATTTAGGAACCTGGTCATCCTTGTTCTGTGGTACTGAGAAACCGTCAGTGTGTGGCACTTTCCAAGAGGAATCTTCTGCCATGGTCTTGAGTGTCTTTGTTTTGTTGGTGCCCCTTCTGGAGTGTCTGTGACCTTGTCCATTGTTTTACATATATTTTATGTGAGTCTTCTCTTGGCTCTATGATCAGGGGAAGGTGAATGGTGTGAATCTCCTGACCTCTTCCCTTGTGCACCCTTTGCTGGTGGACTAAGGCAGGCTGAGTTCCAGTGCCATAGTCTCTGGCTCTTGTTCAGATCACCTGCTGCTCTGGGCAGCAGCAAGGGAAGGGGAACTGCACTCTGGCCATCCTCAGTCTCAGAGACCTGTTACCAGGCTAGCACTTGTGTGAGGTTCTCCTGTGGTGTCAGTTCTTCCTTGGCAATTGGGTTCAGCCTTCTTTTGGGTTCTTGCAGTGCACACATTCCTCTTGAGGCTCTTACTGGAGCAGGCGTCCTTCCCAGTGCCTTCCTTAGAGGGGCCATCTCCATGGACTGCTTGTTGTGGTTGAGTGTCCTAGCAGACTTTTGGTTTTTTGGGAGGCAAGTCATACTTGCCTCATTTTTGTTTTCTCTAGCACCTTTATTTCTCTTGGCATGTTTTTTGAGACAGGGTTTCTCTTTATAGCCCTGACTGTCCTGGAACTCACTCTGTAGACCAAGCTGGCCTCGAACTCAGAGATCTGCCTGCCTCTGCCTCCCAAGTGCTGGGATTAAAGGTGTGCGCCACCACTGCCTGGCATCTTGGCACTTTTTTATCATAACCATTCGCACCCAAACTCCTGATCTCACAGACACTCACCCACCATCTTCCTGATTTTTTTGGTGAAAGTTTCTTAGAACACGAAGTGCAGTGTTTCCGGAACTTGGGTTATTCATGGTGGCTTATTTGTTTCCCGAGGGACAGAGGCTAGAATCAAGGTTCTCTTGCTTAGTATTTTTCCAATGGCAGTTATATTTGAACATGAATTTTACAGTGACAAAATTTAAAACAAATATGTTTATAAATAACTATTTGAGGGCTTAAAACTTAAATCAGTCAGTAGGACTCTGTAAAACTTAGTAAGAATTTACCTTGTTGTAGTTCTGAATTTGTCCCTTTTCTAAAACTAACTAAAAGTAAAACTTAACATTTTTACTTTTGAGAAAATTAAATATAATAGTTGGAGTTGTGGTGGTCCTTGCCTGTAATCTGAGAATGTGGGGTGCTGAGACAGCAGGATCATTAACCAGGTCAGCCTAGGCTGCACTGCAAAACGTTCTCTCTAACAGAACAAGTGAAAACTCGCTGTCCTAACACTCGCTTGAGCTTATAGTGAACTTAAAATAATTCCTAAGGGTTTAGCGGTTACTGATTACCTGTCAAGTTATAGTTTAGAAATGAATATTTCTTATTCTAAAAACATAAATTTTAGAATGAGGTTGTTGTAGTCATTGACAAATAGAAAAGACAGGGCTCATAGTGGCCAATAAACTCTGAAAGACAGACCTTGCAAAGCTGCTTGTGATAGGGGAACTATACAGCAGCCTCTGTGTCATAACAACTTACAAATCCAATCACTTAGTAGCTTCAGGCACATGTCAGGTGCTCAGTAGCTCCATGTGACTGGGATCTTTCGTATTATCCTATCTGCTGAAACCACAGGGGCTCACTAACCACTGCTCTGTCTAACTAGTTAGAACTGCACATTGACACGGCAGGAAGCAATCTGGCTCGTAGGCACTAGGCCTTCATAGTCGACATTGGGCATTATTCTCTAAGGATAAATGCTGTCAAATCTAAATACCGTTTTCAGAAACTAGCTTTTCTGTGAAACTAAGACTAAACTCAGAGGTTTTGCTTTCGTTTGAGGATCAAGAAAGTTCTTCCTGGGGAAGAATGGCTGGAGAAATGGCTCAGAAGTTAAGTGCTTGCTTCTGATACAGAGGAGCTCTGTTCTAGTCCCAGCATCCATGCCAGACAGCTCACAGCTACCTGCAACGCCAGTGCCAGGAGCTCTGTTTTCTGTTTGCATCTGCACACATGTACACACACACACACACACACACACACACACACACACAAAGTCCTTTAAAGCAAAAAGGAGGAAACTTTTCCTATAATCTAAATATGGTGCTTTGGTTTAGGGATAAAACACACATGTTGAAGTAAAACATCTAAGTTTACCAAGAATAATTTTTTTATATAATACATTTTGGGTCTATGGAGACGGCTCAGCTTAAGAGGAGTTAAGGCTGCTGCTCCAGGAGACCCTTCTTCAATTCCCAGCATCACAGCTCTCTGTAACTACAGTTCCAGGGAAAGCAACACCCTCTTCTGACCTCTGTAAGCACCACTTGGCAAACATTCTGGCCAAACACTACACATGCAAAGTAAGTGGGTAGGTTTTTAAAATTTTGTAAACTTTAAATTTTATCATTTTTATTGTATGAATGTTTTGTCTAAGTGTGTATCTGTCACCACATGTGTGCCTGGTCCCTGTGGAGATCAGAACAGGGCATCAGATGCCCTAGACCAGGAGGTGACAGCTGCTATAAGCCACTGTGGGTGCTGGGATCACACCGCATCCCCTGGGATCACAACCTCACTAAGCCATCACTTCAGCCCAACTTCTTTAAAAAGAAAGAAGCTTCTTTAAAATGTAGGCAGAGGTGTGAAAAGAACACTTGTTAGGGGCTAGAGGGCCGCTCCCTCCCTTTGTGGTGGGCTTGTCTAGCACGCAGGGTGCGCTGAGTTCCAGTCCTCGCACCATACGCACAGGCTTCATAGTATGTGCCTGGGAGCCAGCATGAAGGAGACGGAGGCAGGGGCATCAGAAGCTCAGCTTCGTCCTCAAAAGTCAGCCTGGGATACATGAGACAAAACACATGTCAAAAATACTTTTTAAAACTGCTCATTCATTTCCACGTGATTTCTTAAGTTGTGAATAAACTTAGTAGCCACATTGAGAGTATAGCAAAGGGAAGCTACATACTTTTTACAATTTGTGTTGGTCACAGTTGTGATTTTTTTCCTTGGATTATGGCATCATATTGCTAAGTAGAACATACCAGAAACTTAGTTTGATGTGAATTAATGATTTTGACATTGACTGTTTTGTATTGTTCTGATGAACAAATGATGTAGAAAATGAGGAGGCATTCTTTCTAATTGTTGGTCATAAGAAAGGCATTCCGTCAGGTTCTTCTTTGAGAATTGATAATTGTTTGTAGGCAAGAACGTTGTTAAGCAGATGTCCTAATCACCTAACTTAAATGCAAGTACCTATTGTCCTGATCACCCTTAATTCCAGGGTGTGGGCTTGTGCTTTAGCTTGAGCTGCCCCTCCCTTCTCCTGCTCTGTTGTCCCTCCTAGAAGAGCTTTGTAGAGTTTGTGTGTCCATGGTTTGCTTCATCTGTGATTGTTACTGTTCTGTTGTTGAGTTCTATAAATATACATGTGTAACTATGTTAGGGATTTTAGTACAGTACAATCAGGTCACTTTGCGCGTCCTAAAAATAATATAGCTAATAGGTTTATACTATCATACGTTTCATTTCATTCAACGAAGACAGTAATCTGAACATCTTCAGTTAGTAGCCCTCTGATTTTAGACATATATGTATCTCTTCCATTTTCTGTCCTCTGAAAAATACATATAGCTAGGTAACTGAACTATATGTAAAACTCACATGCTTAAAATTCAATACCAACCCTTGGTGCAGTGGCATCTACTAGGATATAAAATGTAGTCCCTAGACAGAACACAGTTAGCAAGTTTATGCTAGGTTTTAACATCCTAAGCCTAAAAGTAAGTCAGATAGGAATCTTGGAAAACTGTGTGTAACACTATACTTGTAACATTCTTTCAGCTACATTCTTTACATGTTGAAATGTTTGCATTTGTTAATTCTTTCCTGTAAAACTTTACTTTTCTTTTTTTTTATTTACAGATCATATTAGTAAAAAGACAGAGGTAAGTTTTACTATGATTGTCCTGTAGTCTAGAAAACACTGAAGAATAGTACTTTAATGAATAGCAGTAAGTCTTTTTCTAGAGACATGGCCATTTAAAGGTTTGCCTTCACTAAACTCATTATGTTTCTGGTATTATAAGAATATAAATACAGTAGAATAAAAGTGATCATTTGCATAAACTACAATTTGATTTGGCATTACTGTCCTAATCTGTATGAATATACAATCTTAAAATTCAAAGAAGTGACTTAATCTCTAAATCTGTATTTCAGTTTTTGTATTTATATGTGTATTTATTCTTGTGTATTGAGGAAAACATGTGTGTTCACAAGTGTATGTGCGAAGCTGTTGATGTGTGTTGGTGAATGGCTGTGTGTGGAGGCCAGGGAGCAAGTGGAGATGCCATGCCTTAGGTGCCCTCCACCTCTGTGGGCCCACACGGAACTGACTCTTACAAGCTGTCCTCCAACCTCTGCCTGTGTCATGGTACACATGCCACCCTACCTGTGGCTTATCCTTCTAGATGTGGTGACACATATTTACAGTTTCACACCTGGGAGGCAAAGGCCAGAGACTGTAGGTTAAGGCAAGCCTGAGCTGCATAGCAAGTCCCTGTAACAAAGAACCAAACTAACAAAAAATCCAGAATAAAAAACAAAAACAAACCCCAGAAAGGCTGACAGGATGGCTCCGCACATAGCGGTGCTTCCTGCCAAGCCTGACAACCTGAATTGGGTCCTTGAGACTCAGCTGGTGGAAGGAGAGAACTGACAACCACCACCTGTTACAAATACTTAACTAGTGGGGGAGGGGAAAAAAGCGTGTATAGATGGACCGTTGTAAAGATTGTGTAGTGAGATGTATTAAGAGATGTGTATATTGCAAAGCTGGACATCTGTCCCCTAAGAGGTTGTGTGGCACCCTTAGAAATGGGGGTAACGGTGAGAAAGTGTTAGGTTAGAGAGGTGGCTCAGTAGCAGAGTGCTGCAGGGCAGTCATGAAGGCCACAGTTGGATGGAAAAGGGCGTCCTGCGTATGCCTGCAGTCCCAGCTCTGAGACGGCAGAAACTGGAGAATTGCTGGGCTGCTGGCTTACAGCCCAGCTAAGCTGGTACAAGCCCCAGGTTCACAGAGAGGTTAAGGGATAGGTGGAAAGTGGTGTTTTTAAAAAAGGCTGTCTGATGTCCAACTCTGGCCTCTGCACACATGTGCAGAAGCACTCAAATATACACAAACACATACAAGATCATACTGCTGGCTGCCACTGATACACTGCTCTAGAGAATTTTACGTATGCGACCACCTAGCAACATGTACACAGATGTTGGTATTTGTGTGTGTGATGGCCAGGCCTACCCCTTACATCTTACCCAAGAAAAGACTTGGAACAAATCCAGATACTTCTCTTTAGTAGAGGTTTATGAAGTAGTGAAGATACTTAAGGATAGCAAAACTTAGAAAGTGTGCTCAAAACCAGTGCTTAACCTAAACATAAGTCGACCCTCAAGAGGGGTATCTGCTACCCGGGGCTCAGGGCTCAGAGCTGTAAGTGAAAGGATGCTGAGAAGAAGCAGTTGGGCAACTGGATATGTTGCTGATGGTGGAGCACTTGCCTGCTGTGAGTAGGCCTGGGGCTGATTCCCAGAAGACCTGGGAAATGGAAGTTCTGTCTGACAGCTCACCTGGTCTCCAATAAGAACATGTGAAGAGAAGAAGTGGGTTGTGGAAAGGGGTGTTTTCTAGACAAGAAGAGACTCGAGCTCACCAGACATGATGTGTAGGTCCTACTCAGATTGTGCCATGGTGTCCCTATTGCAAAATCCCTAAGCCAAGCAAGTGTATGGGTGAAGTAAGACACACAGAAAGAAGGTATGTTTTTAGTGCTGTTTGCACAGTAACAGAATGGAGGTGATACACAGTAAACTCAGGGTCACGATTACTTTGTGGAGGCAAGGTGTGTATGGGAGTGTACAGAGTGTATGGCACAAGTAGGTCATGCTCTAGTCTTCAGGAGGAATGAGGTCGTGGGCAGCTTTTCTTTGCAAGCAGCTTTACTAGCTAGTAATGTGACTCAGAAGGAAAACACTTGGCTGCCAAGCCTGATGACCCAGGTTCAATTCCCTGGGCCCCACTTGATGGAAGAAGAGTGCTAACACTTGCAGAGAACAAGTTCTTCTCTGGCCTCCATCCTCTTCAGTAAGCAAAATGCAATTTAAAATAGCAGTTTTATTGAGTTATATAATTTGCAATAAATTTTCCATTGCATGTATATAACTAAGGCATAAAAACAGAGAATCAAATCTAGTGTCTTGGATATATTAAACAATTATTTTGCAAAAAGCTAAACTCACAGCCCTATTTATAGTAACTGAAGGAGCCGTATGGCCAGGGTCACAGTCTAGATGTAGAATCTATAGTGACTGAGGGAGTCGTATGGCGGGGTCACAGTCTAGATGTAGAATCTATAGTGACTGAGGGAGTCGTATGGCCGGGGTCACAGTCTAGATGTAGAATCTATAGTGACTGAGGGAGCCGTATGGCCGGGGTCACAGTCTAGATGTAGAATTCTCTACAGTCCCCAGAGTTCCCTTGTGTTCCCCTCTCGAGTTCCTGGCAATGACTATTCTGGTTTTGATTTCTACAGATTGGCACTTTCTGGTAACCTCTGAACACCCCCAGTGTGGTCTTTTATGATTGATTATTTTCACATGGCATAGTGTTGTTAGGTTGATCCATGTTGTGTTATGTGTCAGTAGTTCATTCAGCTACACATAGTTGCACACTATATCCCAACATGGAGGAGGCAAGGCCATCCTGGTCTACATAGTTCTGGGCCATCCTGCACTACAGAGTGAGACCCTGTCTCAAACAAGCAAATAATAAATAGTTCATTCAGCTTTATTGCTGAATTTATTTCATTGTGCTAATGTTTTTTATTCAGTTAGTTTGGTGTTTATGTGGTTCTGTGTTTTTATTTCTCTCAGGTGGCTGTCTTGAGTTAAAATTGCTAGGTTGTCTAGTGCTCTTACTTTCTTTTTGCTGAGGTGGGGGCCTGAATTGTTTACTGTTTGTCATGTCCTAGGAAGCGAGCCCAGGGCCTTAAGCATTTACTACTGAGTTATATCCGGATCTCACTAAGTTATCTATGCTGGCTCTGAACTCTGTATCTAGGCAAGCCTTGAACTGGTGATCCTCCTGCCTCAGCCTCCCAAGTAGCTGTTTTTATAGGCCTACAACAGGAGACCTGGTTGACATGTCTGTTTAAAAGCCTGTCAAATTGAGATGGTGGTTTTTAGAGAGAGGATGTGGTATTTACTAGTCTCTCCAGTGGTGTGTAAGAAGTTGTAGTTTCTACATACCCTTGCTAGCACTTAGTGGAGATGTAGTTGGTCTCACTGAATTTCAAATGCCATTTTCCTGATAACTGATAAGTATATTTTCATAGACTTGTCAGAAATCTTTGAACAGTCTTCTCAAATCTTTTGCCAGATTTAAGTGTGTTTTATGTGTGTGTCATTCAGAAATACTGAGGGGCTAAGATTTTGAGGGGATAGGAATACTGGTAAGAGGAATAGCAGTCAAAAGATGGTTGGCATGGTAGGCATGCCCTCGATCCCAGCATGGAGGTGTAGGTCTCTGTGAACTCAAGGCCAGCCAAAGTGAATACTGAAGAGTGAGATCTGTCTCAAAAACTCAGTCAGGCAAACAAGGCCACTGAATAATGTAAATCCAGAAGCTGTTAGTGTTCCCAGCATGCTGCTCCTGTCATGGGAGCTCAACACTGTTTTATGATTTAAAGTGAGAGCTTGACAGAATATGGTAGTTTTACAAAGCAGTACTGGGAATGACGTTTGTGCCTCTTAGCAGTGGGTCCTGGGCATCACAACCTTGACTGCTTAGTGGGATGCCTGCTCTGTCCTGGAGTTTATGAGATGAAAGTAAAACAGTGTTGACATGCTCTATAGAACATGAAGTTCTCTACAGGTAATTCACTCTTTTGTGTTGATATACAAATAAATTCCATTCAGACATTTCCCTTTCTTGGGTGATGTGCAGGTAAACACTGAGCAGCCATGGATTGAACTGTGTGACTGTTTACAGAAGTGGACTTGATAAAACTCTGTAGCCAGAAGGCGAATGGGGACTCGAGGAGCGTTTCCTGTAGTCTCTGCCTGATAACAAGGAGAGGGGGAATCCTACTTCATTAGAGAGTGTGTAAAGTCACATCTCTTTAGTACTGCCTTTACTTATACACATAGTTTATGTCAAAATGACTTGTAAATGCAGCTCAGAACAGTGCAAATGTAAAGCTGTAGCAATGGAGTCTGTTTGATACTGAGACTTGACAGCATTGAGAGTGAGTTCACATAGAGGTTGATGGAATTGAGAGTCCAGAAATAAAATTTGATATTTGCATTTGCTTGATTTTTGACTGAGTGCCAAGACAATTCAGTGTGGGAAAATGGTCTTCATGAAAAAATGTTGGATATCTCTGTGCAAAGGAATACATTTGGACGCCTTCTGCATATATAGAAAAATGGACTCACCCAGCATCCAACCACTGATACCAGTGAGGTCATGCAGAGGCCTGAGCCCCAACACCACAAAGGCAGATCTAAGTCCTAGGTTTGCTAAATGTAGGAGCAGGAACTCTGTGCCTTAGGAGAGGGCAAAAGTAAAGTGAGGTGCTCACCTAAGCACACGTGCAGTCTAAAGAAAATTAAAACTTTTGTGTTGTATAGAGGACATCATGAAAAATGTGCTAAGACAACCCTTATAATGAGAGAAAATATTTACAAATAATATTTAGTGAGGTGTTTATTTAAAATACATATTTTTTTATGTGTACATGTTTGTGTGTGTGCACATGTGTATGTTTGTGAGGGTCAAAGGTCAATGTCTAATGTCTTCCTTAATTGCTCTTCACCTTCTTACTATCTCAGGGTACATGTGTGTGACAGCAAACCATTTTATTCACAGACTTGGAAGTGGAAGGGCATGGAAGAGATCCACGAAATCTGATGTCCTTGCAGGACAGGTTTTTCTGGCCTCTCTGTCACTAACTGGGATTATAGCTAATTGTCACTATGAGCAGCTTTTTATAGTACATAAATTATCTTCTTTTACATCTAAATTTCTTATAAATATACATATATGCCCAGGGAACAGATAGGCGTACATGAGGCTAGGAGGTGCTGTCAGATGCCTGGGAGCTAGAGATACAGGCTGTGTGAGCCATCCAAAGTGGATGCTGGAAACTGAACTCGGGGCCTCTGCAAGAGCAGCACACACCTTAACTGTGGGGGCATCTTGCCAACAGTAAGTAGGCAAGTGACTCAGTTAAAAAACGAGCAAAGGTTCTAAGTAAACATTTCTCTAAAAAGATTCTACAGTATCCAGTAAACTTATAAATAGTAAAGCTAATGGCCTGCTCCATCAGCCATAGGGAAATGCAGCTCAAAGCCCTGAGGAAGTAGGTGTTCATGTCCATGAGGGTGTCTGCAGCAGAAACATAACAGCGTAGTGCTGAGAATATAGACGTTAGAGCTGCCCCATGTTGCTGACGGGATTGTAAAATAGGGAACTGCTTGGAGCACTAGCTGGAACATCTCAGAAGGTTAAACATAGACTCTGACACCACCCAGTAACCTTACTCCTAGGTATATGCCCAACAGAACTGGAAACATCCATAAACATCTTGTATGTAAGTGTTGAAAGCAGCATTTGAGCTGACCATCTACCAGTGTGAAGAGAAAGACGATGTAAAGTGGGATACCACGTGGCAGGAAATGGAGTACTAATCCATGCTATCACATGGACAAGGCTGGCAGACATAGTGGTAGACCAAAGAAGTTTGGAGCAGAAAACACAATATTCCGTTTATATGAAATGAGCAGAATAGATATGTTTATAAAGACAGAGAATTAGTGCTGCCACAGGCCAAGAAGAGTATTTGAGAAAGAGTGACTGTTGAGGAGTGCCGGTGAGGAGAAAGTAAAGCTGTCGGTGGTAGGCAGTGTACATCTCTGATGCAGTAAACTGGGGCTTCTCAGTGATGATGGAGTGAGCTGCACGGTGTGTGTACAACAGTCAAAAGGCCAACAGTGCCGGGCATGTGGTTCCAGAGCCACAGTTTCAGTATATGCAAAGCTTGGCAGGAGAATCCCAAGTCCCAGACCAGTCTGGGCCCTGCTGTAAGACCCGGCCTCTAGAAGGTGTCAATCATAGGAAGAAGTAAGAAAGAGACCCTTGCCACTCCTTGCCGCTCCTGCGTGTCTGCTGGAGGCAGGGTAGGGAGACGCGTTGTCTCCGAGCAACCTTTCTTCCCGTTAGTGACTCGTGAGGTTTAGTGAATGTGTAAATGTTTGTGTTGAATGATAGTAACTCAGGATTTATTTTGACAGGAATCAAATTCTTCTCAGACTTTATCACATGATGGGGGATTCTTCAATAGACTGGAAGATGATGTTCATAAGATTCTTATTAGAGAAAAAAGGAGAGAACAACTTACAGAACAGAACGGAACAGATAACTGTCCTGCCCCAGAGCACGACCAGGCATGTAAAATAACGTTCTCCTAAAGTCACAGTGAAATTTTCTTTTTCTTTTTCTTAAGGAAAGTAGACTTCAGATTTCAATTTTAATTGTCTAAAGTGATAGTTTTAGGATATTATGTTAGTCTTTATTCTGTAAAGAATAATGTGAATATGCAGTTAACCAACACATATGGAGCCCATGCTGCGCTGTGTGTATAGTTAAGAACTGGTCCTGGAGAGTAGGACGCTCCTGTCTCAGGCACAGAACAGTGAATGCTCAGGTGCCCGCCCCTGGTAGAACTGAGTGGAGTGTGTAAGTGTAATTGATGACCACGTGGCATTAGTGCTGTGTAAGGCTGGATGGCAGCGAGATAGAATGAAAGAGGATAGATGTTGAAACCAAACAATACAGTGAAAATATTAGCATTGCAGCCCATCTGTGCTCTTGCACTAGAGACATAATTGTTTCTTTTTTTTTTTTACATGATTTTTAGGAGAGTTAGAAATTAAAATTTAAAATGCTTAACAGAGTATATTGTACACGGTATACATTTAACCATTGTTTTATAGATAAAGAGTTGTGAGTACACAGAATAGGCACATTGTTGTAATAGGATGGGACAGCAAGAAAGGTTTCTGCCCAGAAACTAAGGCTTGAGCTGAAAGCCAGCAGGACAGAGGACCTGAACATGAGGAAGAAGAAACTAGAATGTCTTCTGTAAACTATAGACACAGGGAAGTAGAAAGTGATTTAATTCAAAGAATGCTGTGTGCAGATGGTGAGGTAGATTGTGAAGACTTGTACAATACTTAAGGCCTGGCTTGTGATTTAGTCTGTAAACAGGAAAGAATTTTTTAGCATAATAAATTTGTATTTAGTAATAATAATTTTATTGCTGAGTCTAGGAAAAATTAAAGAAAAAGAATATACACAGGGCTAGATAACAACCACGTGTAAGGAGACAGGACGACATAGCATCCTAGAGAGCAGCGTGAGGATTGCTGTAACCATCTGAAAACAGTGCGGAGCCAGACTCTAGTGGCACACACCTTTGATCCCAGCACTTGGGAAGCAGAGGTATGTGGATCTCTGTGAGTTCAAGGCCAGCCTGGTCTAAATGAAAGAGTTCCAGGATAGGTAGGGCTACACAGAGGAAACGCTGTCTTGAAAAACCAAAGAGATGGATATGACTCGTGCTGTAGTAATTCTACACGTGGTTGTTGTGGTGGTTGTTGTTGATTTGTATGTGTGTGGGGGCATTGTTTGTTTCCTTGGGTTTTTCAAGACACTTTCTCTGTATAGCTTCGGCTGTTCTGGAACTGGATTAAAGGTGTGTGCCAGCTCCCCACCCCAGCTCTATACATGAATTCATGTGCAAATTATATAGCAAAGTCAGAACAAATTAACCGTACCTATAGATAACAACATGTAGAATTCAAAAAATACACTGGGGAGTCAGAAAAGTCACTAAATAGTAGTTCAATTAGATTACTATCTGTATTAAAATAACCCAGATGTGGTGTCTCAGGGCTATAATCCTAGTGCTTAGAAGGCTGAGAAATACCCTCTGACCTCCATGTGTACCTGCATGCATAGGCACAGGTGAACATACTAGATAGATGATAGACAGACAGACAGACAGATGACATACATACATACATGTCATCAGACAAGATGGCAGACTACAGAATGTCCCTGCGCAGGCCAGTGAAGCTTTTAAGAAAAGTGGAATAAGGAAAAAGGTAGGCTCTATTCCAAAGAGAGAACAGCTTTGGAAACCCACAAAAGAAATCAAAGGAGCCTGGGAAGAGCTGAGGCCCAGGCAGGCAGCACAGGAGCCAGCAGAGCGTCTGCACTTCGCCCTGTCTGGAAGGAGGGAAGCAGAGGCCACTTCCAAAGGCAGTTTGCTTTTCCATTTCTGAGTGTACCAGGATCAAACCTTCAAGAGAAAGCCGGTCACCCCCAGATGGGAAGATACACAAACCAATAGATGAGAAAATCACAGCCCCAAAACACAAGAGCCTTCTAACAGAGATCACCCCTACTACAGAGCTCATAAACAGTGAGATGGGTACAGGCCCAGACAGTTCTTTCAGATGTTCTCAGAGAAACGAGTAGTGACCTTTGTCTTGCTTGGGTTTAACTTGTAGGCTCAAATAGTCCCCTGTTTCTAGCCTTGTAGGCACTGAGGCCACAGCATAGGTCACCATACCCAACTCAGTCATCTTGTGCCATCTCCCCTCCCTGCAGCCAACCTCCATGGCGGCCTCCTCTTCACGACACTGCCCAGAAGTTTGTCTCATGCTTAAATGTTGGCTTATATGTGCTTGTGGATGTGAAGCCTCCATACTGCACTAGACATGTTTGATATGACAAAACTGTTTTGGTCCTTTGCCCCGGCACCTGGAAACTCCTTACTGAGCATCGGTGTGCCTTCCCCTCGGGGAAAGTGGAACCAGTTTACATTCATCAAAACAGAGCTGGGCCTAATGACACACACCTTTCATTCCAGCATTTGGGAGCCAGACACAGGAGGTCTCTCAAATTCAAAGTCAGCCTGGTTTATGACGTGAGTCCCAGGACAGTGAGTTCTCAGACAGCCAAGGCTACACAGAGAAAAAACCCTGTGTCAAAAAACAAACAAACAAACACCTCACTTGCTTTCACTGTGTGTGACTAGGATCATGTAATTTAGTGAAGGTAGAGATGTAGTGATTTAAAGTTGCCGAAAAAAATTATGTCTGTATTTTTCCTCTTAATCTTTCTACAAAGCACTGTGGTAAAACTATGCTGGGTGGAGCACTCTTGGTCAAAAGCAGTATTTTTCTTTTTTTCAGGAAGTGGGTCTAAAAGATGGAAGAATTGAAAGACTAAAGTTAGAACTTGAAAGGAAAGATGCAGAGATTCAGAAGCTCAAAGCTGTGATCACTCAGTGGGAGGTATGTATCCACTTAGTTTGTAAAAGAAAAGAATTATGAATTTATATTTTCTGGGTTTTTAATATATGTTTATTATTCAGTTACAAGGAATAGTCTCCCATCAGGTTTTCTAATTGATTATTCACTTAAGTCTGAATGATGGAATAAATTTTGTTATAAAATACATATTATAGAATACATAATTTATTACATGTAGTTAGATATGTAATCCATTTTAAGCACATGATTCAGTAGGAGTGTTTATGTAGTTAGTTTTTCTTTGTTTTGAGTCAGGATCTCACTATGTAGACCAGGCTGGCCTCAAATTCACATAGATCAGCCTGCTTCTGCCTCCCAGTGCTGGGATGAACAGTTCAGTGGTGTTAAGTACTTTCCCCTTACTGTGTGACCATCACTGCGGTTTCCATGCGGAAACTGTAGTAATTCAACCGCTTACAATGCCCACCCTTCCCCCTAACAACCATTCACCTCTGTGCATTCCCTGGTCTTGATCCTTCATTTTGGTAGAGTCACACAGTTTTTGTCCTTTTCTCTCTGGTTTATTTCTTTTAACTTGTTTTCAAGGTTCCTCCCTGTTACAGGATTTATCAGAATTTGATCCACTGGCCTACATTCTCTTACATATACAGACTACATTTTGTGTATTGGTATACAGGTATCTGCAGGCCTGCTTTTAGGTCTTTGAGTATATTGAATAATTTAAGAGTAGAATTGCTGATTACATAATTGTTTTGTTTTATTCTGTGACATCCAAGCCTTTCTAAAGCAACTGTTATTTTACCAGAAATGCATACAGATTCTAATTTCTCTATATCTTTGCTAATCCTTTATATAACAATTATATTCTTTTAAAGATTGATTTAAAATTCTTACTTGTGTATATGTGTGCTTGTATATATGTGCATGTGTGTGCAGTTGCCCGTGGAATTCAGAAGGGGTTGTCAGATCCCTGGAGCTGGACTTAGAGTTGTTGTGAACCACCTGATGTGGGTGCTGGGAACCAAACCAGGGTCCTCTGAAAGAGCAACAGGTGTTCTGGCTCTCCAGCCCCTACAATTGTCTTTAACCACAAACTTACGAAGCATTCTCTTGCTACTCTCCTTTAGACTTTGACAATGATACTCCTGTTTCTCAAGTATTCTCTGTCTTCTAACTAATGTTAGTACACTGATTACTTACTGAGCACTGTGCTGTGCCAGGGCTGGGGCTGGTGTGCAGCAAGCAGCCCTGTTTCATCTGGTTCTTAAGTATTACTCAGGAAATAATGATCAGCAATTTAATTGGATAGAGTACTGTTTAGTAAAAGTCACTTTCATAGAATTTAAAATAAATTTAAATCCAGGTGGTGGTGGTTCATGCCTTTGATCCCAGCACTTTGGAGGCAGAGACAAGGAGATCTCTCTGAGTTCAAGGCTGGCCTGGTCTACAGAGCAAGTTCTAGGAGAGCCAGGTTTACACAGAGAAACCCTGTCTCAAAATACAACAACAACAGTAATAGATAATATATTTAAATACATTGGGCTCTGGCATCATTCAGTGGTATCTGCTTGCCTTTTTTGTATTTGGTGAGACACCCTGGGTTGGACCCCAGCACTGTGGAAATAAAGACGAAACTGGGAAATTCTGCACATATCTAGTAGATGAAGAAAGAAAATTTCACATTGATATTTTTAGGCTTTTATCTTTTTATAATTTAATATATTGGTTTTTTTACTAATTTTTTATTGCTTATTAATATTTGAAAGTTTTTCAGACTACTAAGGAAATGTTCAGTGAAGACTGGGGAGATAACTATCAAACATTGAAACGATCCATGTGAGAGCATAGTTCCTTTTATTCATGAATGTGTGAAATATCATCGTTTATGAGGGTTAGAAGGAGCCAAGCCGTTTGGAGAGAGGAGCTGAGGAAGCCCACCAGCCGCGAGCTCTGTGTTTGACAGTGGCAGCTGTAGCGCAACACTGGGGTCCTGATGAGACTTGCAGCCAGCACTGCCAAAACACTGGGGCCATTTTCTTTTTACTTTTATTGAAATTAGTTGGAATTATTTAAAGTTTTTATTTAGGGAAGAAATAAAAAAGGATCCTTCAGGAAATTTTAATATTTCCCTGACTTGACCTTTAGCCTCTCTACTTTGAAATCTCTTACATTTAAATTTGTCCTTGTATCTTTGTGTTTCTGGGATCAAACTCGGTCCTCAGGCTTTACGTGCTACATCACCTCGCGTTAAGTTTTCAGAGGCTTAATTAAGTAGTTTGTTTACATCCTATATTCTGTTTATTTCATAAATGATTTATGATTTTAGGGAAGTATAGAATGCACAGCCTAATAAATTTAAAATAGGCCATGATTTATCATTTACTTTAAAAATTAAAATTTCTTTCCTTTGACTATTAGGCAAAATATAAAGAAGTAAAAGCAAGAAATGGACAATTACTGAAAATGCTTCAGGAGGGAGAGAGTAAGTGACACTCGTGACACATGTATATATATAATCCGTGTATGTGTGTGTGTTATGCATGTGTATATGTATGTATGCATATATAATACATATGTATGTGTATATACATGTATAATGCATATGTGTATGTGTGTATATATATATATAATGCATATATGTGTGTATACATACGTAAAAATAAGTGTGTGTGTGTGTGTGTGTGTGCATATGGACTGCAAACATGGCTGCTGCCAAAGACACCAGAAGAGGGGAACAGAGCTCCTTGAACTGGAATTACAACAGTAGTCAGCCACCTTGTGGCTGGATGTTGAACCCAGGTTCTTAGTAAGAGCAGCCAGTGCTCTTAACTGCCAAGCCACCCCACCTCTCCAGCACCCTTGCTTTATTTCTTTGAGATAGGGCCTCACTAAGTAGCTCTGGCTGGTCTGAGACCTGCAGTATAGACCAGACTCGTGGTGAGCTCATCCGCCTCCCCAGGCTGGATTAGAGGCTTACACCACTGTACTCAGTCTTTGTGTATCTTTTTAGAATTAAAGCTAATCTTAATATCTGAAGACAAATCGTCAGGTTACATGTTTTATCAACACAACAAAATTAAAAGTTCCCCAGAGTGATAAGAGTTGGATAGTTTGTTGTAATATTCTCACTATAAGGCCTCTAAAAGCACCTGTTGTCAAGCATGTTTGCCACTATTCACATAGAGGGTTGCAGTTCGAGTTCTTACACATTATCGTACCTAGCTGGGCCGTGGAGACAACACAACCTTAATCCAGCATGCTGGAGGCAGAGGTGGGTGGATCTCTTAGTTTTAGACCAGCCAAGGCTGCAAGGTGAAACCGCTGTCTAAAAAAAAAGGAAAAAAATTCTTGCTTTTAAGATTAGCCAAGAAGCCAACTGTAATGGTTTATTTCTGCAGTCCTAGCACTTCGGAGCCTGAGGTAAAGAGAATCAGGTGTCCAAGGGGCAACCTGGGCTACAATATAGAATGACAGCTGAGTAGGCGATGCTGAGGGGCTCTATCAGACGTGGTCAAGTTGAGTTTGATTCCCCGGAACTTACATGATAGAACGAAAGAACTGACTTCTGCTAGTTGTCCTGACACACGTGGACGGTGGCATGTCACACACACACACACACACACACACACAGTAAATAAGTATAACAAAAATACAAGAAGTAACAAGACCTAATAAATAGATACTCAAGATATTTAATTTTTTTCCTATATAATTTTTTCAATTTTCCTATATATCTGTCCCTAGTTATGGTAAATTGAAAAATTAATCATCGTATCAATGCAATTAATATTTCAACAGTACAGAAAATTTTAAATTACTTTTTAAAAACTGCGCCTGTAATACTGCGCAGACTTTGATGAGAGGTAAGAGCAGTCAAGCTCCCTAAGAACGTGCGTTAGGCAGAGAGGAGGAAGCCATTGTCCTGAGGAAGCCATGCTCTGTACTGTTCTGTGTCTCACTCAGCCCTGCCGTCCTGAGGCAATAACACTGTTGTTCTCCTTTCTCTCAGTGAAAGATAAGGCCGAGATACTTCTGCAAGTTGATGAGTCTCAGAGTATCAAGAACGAGCTGACAGTTCAGGTGAGGGCTGTGGGGTGTGCTGGTTGCTTCCTTATGCTCTTCTGAGACTGGCTTGCTATGCCCAACTAAACAGGAGTACTGCTCTTGAGGCAGGATGGGAAGATTGTTATGTCGTAGCAAGGTGTCTGCTTGTTTAATTAAACATGGTGGGTGTGTCCTAAGGAGAGTGAAAAGGCCTGGGTGTGAACTGGTGGACATGAAGGTAAACAGCATGCCAAGCTTCCCCCCCGTTCTTAGACATGGTCCTCCCTCACATAGGCGTGCCCTCCTGGTCTAGCACGCACCTGCAGAGAGTCTCACGGGAATCATGGGAAGAGCGGTTCAGATCCTGGCAGTTGTCAGGTTTTATCTCAGTGGAGATGTTCAGAATTAATGTACTTTCCAAACCGGTTACTGATTATTTGGTTGTAGGTGTCTTCACTTCACGCCGCACTGGAACAAGAAAGATCTAAAGTGAAGGTATTACAGGCAGAATTAGCCAAATACCAGGTATGTTTTTATAATTTTGGCATTTTCTTTATAGCTACTTTTGGAGTAGATACAATAAAAGAATGAATGTGCTATTTTATTTTTAAGCCATGATTTGTTCACTAAATAATATTGATGATTTTTGTAAAAAAAGAAAAAAGCGGGGGAGAAAAAAATAGGTGTGTGTGTGTTTATTTGTCCTGGGGGGTGGGAGAACTGTGCCTGTGGAGGCCAGAGACGGTGTTGGATCCCCTGATGCTGGGGTTGAAAACACTTGTGAACCTCACAACCTGGGCTGGGAACTGAACCCAGGGCCTCCTGAGCATCAGCCAGTGTTTTTAACCACTGAACCATCTCTCTAGCTCCTTGTTGTTGCTTTTGTTATTGGCCAGATAATGTACATTTTCAAAAATATAAAGGTAATTTTAGATATTGATATATACAACAATATCCAAAGTGATTCAGGAAGTGCATTAGACATCTGTGTGCCACTAATCATATAACAGGAAGGCACAGGTGACACACAGCTCATGGGTGACCACCTGCTTGTTATCCCACTGTAATTGTCTGTCCTTTTAACCGACAAGTAATATGTAGTGGGGAGGTGAGAGTGGGCGACCTTTCACCCAGTGGCCATGTTCATCAGTGTTGTCTACATTCACTATTGTTTTGATGATATTTTAGGTTCTGCTAGGCTTAAGGATATATTTCAGCTCTTCTTTTCCTATTGAAACAACTGAAAGCAGTCATCACTGTTTTCCATTAGTAAATGTGTCAGATGTGTTTTTACATACTTACACAAACATATATAAATCATTAATGCGAAATCTTGGGCAAAAAGTCTTAAAAGCCACTGGTAGCATAGAGAATATAAACAGTATTTAACCCAGCCTAGCATGGTGGCACACACCGTTAATCCCAGCACTCAGAGTTCTCTATGAGTTCAAGGACAGCCTGATCATAATGAGATGCTAAAAGCAGTCCTCATATGTCTCTTAGTTGCATTGGTTTTGGGGGTTTGGTTGGGGTTGGGTTGGGTTTTTGGTTTTGTTTTGGTTTGGTTTGGTTTGTTTTGGTTTGGTTTGGTTTGGTTTGGTTTGGTTTGGTTTGGTTTGGTTGTTTTTTGAGACAGGGTTTCTCTGTGTAACAACCCTAGCAGTCCTGGAGCTCACTCTATAGACTAGGCTGGCCTTGAACTCACAAGAGATCTGCTGCCTCTGCCTAACCATGAAGGGATCCCAGCTTGTTTTGTTTTTTGATCTCATTGAATTTTTCACATTGGCACTATCATAGTCAGTGATGTTTATCCCAGGTGTGTTATTGGTAATTCTCATAATTGAGAAGCGTGATAATTTTAAGACACACACTGGTGTCTTAAGTAAGACAGAAACACACTGCTAATCCTCAGCATAGTGGATATTTACCTTAAAGGAATGTTTTCTAAACCTTTTTTCCTTCTAGCAAGAAATAAATACCTTTTAAAAATGTTATTTACACCAGGCAGTGGTGGCACACGACTTTAATCCCTGTACTTGAGAGGCAGAGGCAGGTGGATTTCTGAGTTTGAGGCCAGCCTGGTCTATAGAGTGAGTTCCAGGACAGCCAGGGCTACACAGAGAAACCCTGTCTTGAAAAATCAAAAAAAGAGTGTTATTTACACTTTTAATTTCTCACAAAATCAGTACATTTTTTTCCCTAAATGAATAAATCTTTTTTGGCCTTCTGCATGATCAGAAATGGCTAACAGCATTCATATATTTAAAAGAGGTTTTGGGTTTTCTTTAACTGGTGTATTTGATTCCAGAAGAGAAGCTGTCAGGGTGAAAGGGTGAGAGAAGTTAAGGTAGCTGCTGTGGTGTCAAATGAGCCTGGGCCTGCCATGCCCTAATATGACTTAGAAATGTATTTACTATAGTCTTAATCCTGTAAAGTATTCATTTTCAGTTTATGTGTGTGAGTGTTTTGCCCTTATTGCCAGCCTAAAAAAATCAAAGTTCTGTTGCTAGGACTCAAGAGATGGTTCAGCAGTTAAGAGCACTGATTTTTCTTCCAGAGGACCTGGGTGGGTTCAATTCCCAGCACCCACATGGCAGCTCACAACTTTCTCTAACTTTAGCTCCAGAAGATCTGACAATCTCCTTTGGCATCCCTGGAAACCAGGCATGAAAGTAGTACACAGGCATACATGCAGGCAAAACACCTATATGTAGAAAAATAAAATTAATATTTTGTTTTGTTGTTTTTTTTAATTGGATATTTTATTTATTTACATTTCAGATGTTATCCCCTTTTCCCATTCCCCCTCAGAAACTCCCATCCCACCCCTCTCCTCCTGCTTCTGTGAGGGTGTGCCCTCACGCAGCCACCCACTCCCACCTCCCCACCCCAAATTCTCCCACACTGGGGCATTCAGCCTCCACGGGACCAAGGACCTCCTCTCCCACTGGTGCCCAACAAGGCCACCTTCCCCTACAGATACAGCTGGAGCCATGAGTCCCTCCATGTGTGCTCCCAGGCTGGTGGTTTAGACCCTGGGAGCTCTGGTTGGTTGGTATTAATTGTTCTCCCCTTGAGGCCACAAACCAATTTTTTAAAAATTCTAGTACTGATTAAGAACAAAACTAGGGGCTGGAGAGATGGCTCAGTGGTTAGGCACACTGACTGCTCTTCCAGAGGTCCTGATTTCAATTCCCAGCAACCACATGGTGGCTCACAACCATCTCTAATAGAATGCAATGTCCTCTAATGATATGTCTGAAGACTGCCACAGTGTACTCATATGCATAAAATAAATAAATCTTTAGAAGAACAAAACTATACAGAACTTAAATTATAAATTATCAAAAAACTAAACAACTGAATTACCAAATTTGCTGATTATATGAAAAGAATAAACTATCTTGTTTGTTTTGTACCTTTTAAGGTATTTAGGATAAAATGGGCTCTGAGAAAATGAGATATCTGTGATCTTATTGATTGAGCCTGAACAGATCTATATAGAAATGCTATTACCTCTGTCATGTTTGTTAAAGTAACTGTTGGAGCTGCAGAGTGGAAATAGCTGTGCTTTTGATTTTGTGTGCTCATAAACTGAGCGCCCTGAGACGGTGCATCTTCAGTAACGTGAGTAACTTGCTGTTTCTCCTTACAGGGCGGCAGGAAGGGGAAAAGGAACTGCGAGCCCGACCAGTGTAGGTGATCACGGCCTTGGAGGCCAGCACACAGTACTTTGACACTTTTGCAGAAATGTGTATATTTAATGCTGTGCAACTGCTAAACTGCAGTTTTTTGTTGAAGGAACTAAAAGCAACTAGTTCACTCGTAGTCTACAGTTTTATGTTCTTTTGGCTTAAAGTTAAAAGAAAATACAGAATACCAGCAGAACTTGATTATTGTTTTATGTCCAAACTTCTTACGACTTTAGTTTTTCATCAGTCAATAAAATTAATTTACTCTTCCATGAATCTGTGATCTTTAACGTCTCCCGAACAGTGTGGTACCTTTGTGTGCTAACCCTACAGGACAGCAACATGGGTAGAGAGAATGTGGCTGGTGTCCTCACGTCTGGTGGGCAAAGGAAGAGCAAAAACTAGTTACACATGTTTCCAAGAGTAAGCACAGGGTGTCACGTGTTCCTCAGCAGAAAGTGAGAAAGCTTACGTCAGATGATGGGTAGAGAGTTTTCCTGTGTATGTGTTGAAGAGTGTCCCAGCAGAGGGAATACAGTCTGGACTAGAAGATTTGCTTAAACAGCAGGCTGGCCCTAGCACGTGAGACTGGGGCACAGCAACAGCGAGGAGTCTCGGAGAGGGGAAAGGAACAAACAGCTCTTGATTGCTGTGGATTGCTAGAGTAATTACCTGCTCCAGGAACTTTGTTTTCTTTAGTCTATTCAGTCATACACATATAATTCATGAAGGTACTGTCTTTGACCTTTGAGAAGATTGCCGAGTGGCAGGGCACTGTGTGAGAGCAGAAGTGAGAAACACGAGCACTGACCCAGTGAGTATGAGTGTGTGTGTGTGCGTGCGTGCGTGTGTGTGTATATTTACTGTGTGTATGCCTGGTGCCCATGGAGGCCAGAAGAGGGCATCAAATCCTCTGAAACTTAAAGTCTTTCCTTTTTGTTTTAGTTTATTTTAATTTACTGAGGTGGCACATGTCACAGCATGGGTGTAGAGGTCAGAGAGCACGCTGAGTCACGCTTCTCTCCTTCCACCATGTGGGTCCTGGGTGTCCAGCTCAGGCCTCCTCACTCCCTCCGTTAATAGAAATGTGCTGAATCCTCAGTATGCTTCTCTGCCTTCTCTCAATAAGTTACAGGAGCCTCGAGAAGAGCTGGGATTCCCAACGCTGGTCTGTCTGCCAGCATAGAGCAGGCACTGAAGCAGTGTGTGGTTAATAAAGAGGACATGGGAGAAAAGAAAAACACAAATGAGGATAAAAGAAAAATGATAAGGTATGGAGAAAGAGTGGAAGCCTTGGAAGGTATGTTATGCCAGAGGTCCAACGGCCTCACACACACACTCAGCAGTGAGCAGGAAGTGTGCTGCTGAGTCACACGGCAGCCCACATGACCTTCATTTTGACTAAGGCATGGATGTTTACACAGGATATTGACTAGAAAGGCAGTGGTCAGATAGTTGACAGTCCACAAGAGCGTCAAATTACGAAGTCAACATAATTTGATAAGTGAAGGAAAACCATGAAAAGCTTACATGGGAACCCTGCTGTAATCAGGGTCCTGCTGTGAAATGAGGTTCAGGCCAGGCGTGGTAGGTGAGGCACAACTTTAATTTCAGTAGGCAAGAGGCAGAGGCAGGCGCATCTCAGTTTAAGGCTAGCCTGGTCTGCGTATCGCTGGCGGGGGTGGGCAGATAGTGAGAAAGTTAAAAGTTTCACAGATAAAAACAGATCTCAAACCCAAGTGCCTTTAATGAATACTTGGGAACAGAGTGGGCCTCAGTAGGTAAAGGCACTTCCTGTCAAATCTTCTGGTCTGAGTTCAATCCCCAGAACGCACACAGGAGAAAAAGGACAGAAAACTAATGTACAAAAAACCAAACCTGCAGATCCAGTGTGAGCCCATGAAAACTGTAGCACCTTTCTTCACAAAAGCAAAGGAACCATCTTAAAATTCATAAGGAAGCACAAAATACCCTGGGGGGTAGCAAGAGCAGCCCTGACTCTGCAGGCCTTCAGTGTCTTACCTGATTTCTTGTACTATAGACTTACAGTAGCAAAAGAGCAAACCAGCCCGATGACTGGAGTAAAATAGAGGACCCGGACATTAGCCCACACAGTGACAGCACCCGATCTTTGAGAAAGATGCTAAAATACACATTACAGAAAGGACAGCTTCTTTTCCAGACGTTGCTGAGAAAACAGGATGGCCACAGTGGAACAAAGCTTCCTCTGACCCTGCCTAAAAAGTCAACTCCAAGTGCTTCAGAAAAGATGTAAGTCCTTAAGCTGAAATTGTTACAGGAAAAAAAATACTTCAAGACACAATCGTCGGCAAGGACTTTCTGTACAGTATATCAGTTTGGTAATAAGATCAACTACTGGCGTCTACCTCATGCATTAAAATCTGCACAGAAAAGGAAACAGCTTTGGAAGGAGACAACCTAGTGAATATGTTTGTTTGTCTGACGGAATTACTATCTAGAATTGAGACTGGGTAGGTTGACTTTGACAAGCTTCAAATCGGCAGTCCAGGAGACTAGGCCTAGATCTATTTCCAAGAACTGGGCAAGTCCAGGCAAGTCAATTACTGAAGAAAAAACAAAAAACCCAGACTTCAGGCAGCTACTCAGAAACTGCCCTGCCCTCAGAATCTGCCCCGCCACCTGGTCTGAAGCAAGTGCAATGGGTCAGCAATAGTTTCCAGCCCACTTGCTCCGGTAAGGGTTCTGGAATGTTCTTAGAGATGGAGCCAACAGGTTAAGATAAAGGTCACCTACCCAGGAATTCTCCTGATATGCTTTAAGTCGGGCCTGTGAGCTCACTTGGGTGTCTCCATCTTAGAAGATGGTAGACCCCAGCATGCTGGACTTGTGCAGAAAAAACAAAAACAAAAAAAAGCAAAACAAAACAAACAAAAAAAACGCTCTTTGCTTTTGCATACTAAGGATGCAAGTTCACTGAGCTCGGGGTATTGTACTTCGGTGAATCATGGACTTTTACAAATATTCACAGAACTCAGAAATCGATGAGTATCGTATTAAAGTTTATTTAGGGGATGAGAAGGGGAGTCGAGAAGGGAGTAGAGACAGAGAAAGAGGGGGACGGAGAAGGAGGAGGGGGAAGGGGAGAGAGGGAGAAACGGGTCAGGGAGAGAAGAGAGTCAGAGAGAAGGGTCAGAGAGAGCAAGGAGAGGACCAAACAGTCTCTTGTATAGCAAGCCAGGCCTACCTGACTGTTGCCAGGTAACTGTTGGGCAGACCCTAGAAGGAATACCAACACACATAATTAAAACTAATTTTAAAATGTAAAAAAAAAAAAATACTTTAAAGCAAACTAATCTACATAGAGTTTTCATTTTACCCCAGCCGTTTCGGCAGTCACCAAGAAATCAAAACCAAGAGGGGAGAACTCCGAGGGAGAAGATGTAAAAGATGACAGTGCAGTGCTCATGTGTGGGATTCTCAAGAAAAACTCAAAAAAAAATAATGCTGGAGAGGATGTGGGCAAAGGGAACCTTACACGCTGTGGCTGGGTATGGGAAATAGTGCAGCCTCGGCGGAAGAGATAGCAGAGGCCCCTCAGAAACCAGAAGGATTCACCTACATCTGACCCAGCTGGCCGCTCCCCTGCACCCCAGTGTCTCACAGAGGTCCCTGAGAACCAGTGCTTACTATGGCACCAGTCACAGTGCCCAGAGCCGAGGAAGGTGAGATGTACCTGTGTGCTCTGCCACGAAGAAGGATGAAGCTACACTGTCTTCAGCAAAATGGATGCAACCAGAAATAATCGTATCGATGAATGGCGCCTCGGGATGGCAGGTATTGTATGTTTCCCTTGTTTGTTGTTCCGGGACTTTAGACAGATGTATAAAACCATGTCTGTCTGACCTGAATGGAGAGTGAAGAATGTCTGGAACGAAGGGCTCACGGGAAGACAGAGGAGAAATGGGAAGAGGGAGAGCTAGGGTGGGGAGTGCTCAAAGTACATCATATAATTGTATGAAATTGTTCTCGCTTAATACCATGCACAATCAATGTACACAATGAAAAAAAATTGAAGAAGAAAACCAGTAAAATGGAGTTACTGTTCTCTGTTCCCATGTGACTGTGGCGCACTCACACCCCCACAATGGGGTTAAAGTGGAACAGTACACTACTGTCAGGAGGGAATCTAGCAGCTCTCTGGTTACGTTTGAGACCAGGAGAGAGTCTATGCCTTAGCATTCTAAACCTACCCCAAATCCCATGGTGGGAGAAACTGTAGGCCCTAGGAGGGAACTGAATACCATACCATGGCAAATTGACATAGCATCAAGCTGTCTTATAAATATTTATGTTCATACCCACAGACAAATGCTACTCTGGGCCTAATTAGACAAGCTCTTTCTGGGGTTGGAGAGATGGCTCCATGGTTAAGAACACTGGCTGCTCTTCTAGAGGACCCAAGTTCAATTCCCAGCACCCACATGGCAGCTCACAACTTCTGAAATTCTAGTTCCAGGGGGGTATCTGACATCCTCACACAGACACAATACACAGAAAAATTAAAATTAAATTATAAATAAAAAGTTTTCCAGTGAGCAGTGATGAACGCAGACTCACAGCGTTAAGAGCCAGTGACAGATGCAGCCCAGACCTGAACAAGACACAGATAATGCTCTCAGGGGCTCAGGGAACACTAGAGAAGAGCGGGTAGAAAGCTGGAGAAAAGATAGGGAGATGAGCTGCAAACTGTTATCTTCAGGACAAAGCACAGACATTGTAATCACAGACTCAAAACAGCTGTAGATACCTCCGTCGGATCTGCATAAGCAGCAGCCAACAGAGTCAGCTATGGAGGAGGATGAGCCTAGGGGCCTCACTCTCCACAGATGAAGTGTTTGCTACTGACTCATTGCCTTTTGTGTACACATGGATGACCACACAAGGCTCCCATGGAGAGTTCCAATCCAGTCGTCACACAGATGGCCCCGGGTAAACTACACGGGTCATGAACAAAGCCAAAGTCAAGAATGTGGGGACGGACTGATAGTGATGGGCGGGGTAAGAAAGGATGGAGGGAGAAGAATACAGTATATACATACACATAGGAAATTGTCAAATAATATTCCCATTCCAGAAGCCCTGGGTTACTAAACAAAAATCTCAGTCCTGGTTATGAGATGTGTCTGTAGGAGTTGTTAGCCATTGCACTTGCTTGCCCACCAGAACTGGATGGTGAGACATCCCTTCTGTTGACAACAATAACATTCCTTGGTTGTGAAGCACAGAGAAG